TTACCCTTTGTTTTTCTTTATCATTTAAATCTATTCATGATGTTAAAAATATATTTATTTGAAATATTTCAGATTTTATAATTAACCATTTAATTCAAATTGCTTAATCGCGTATAATTTTTGATCAAGTGTGTTCTTAATTCTGTATACATTCGCATAAGATCCAGCATAAATCTTTGAAAGTCGTTGAAATTGATTTGATTTTAATGTTTGGCTAAAACTGCGCAAATGATGCGCCACCTGGGGCTGACCCGACTTCTCCAATATGTCCGCTAATTCGTGGAGGTGTTGGCGCTGTTGCGAGAACTGTAGCAATATTTGCCGTTTATTCGCCGCAACATCTGCTCCTTTCTATATAAAATATGTTTTAAAATCACCATGCTGCTACACATAAAACAAAACATGCAGTGATAAACTAATAATAACTATATTTGAATGTAACATTCTTCAAATATTTACTAAACTCAATTATCAGGTTTAGCTTAGCTAATAATTATTATTTTAAATTTAGATTGATATATTTAATTAAATATGTTATTGTATTAACATTTAAATAACAGTTAAAATATAGGAATAGTTAGCTCACTACAGCACAAACAAGCTTATTTAATTTTTTACAAACGCTTTAGAGAAAATATAGTATTTAACTTAGAACCAAGTACTAAACACTATAAAATTACCGGTAATAGTACTAACCTACTAGGCACACTAAAATTGGCTGTGTTTGATAAACTTATGGATAAACTAAGTTGTGATCATTGTACAGCATTGGTTCATTGTAAATATACTTGTATGACAAATATACTAGTATTCCTTATCATAAATGAGGAATTTATTACTATTAATATTATGATAGAAAATAAAAATGCATTTTATAATTGCGAGAAAATAATAGACAGTATGTGTTTAGTGCTAATATATTGTATCTCCTATTTAATACAATATATTTAGTTATAAAAATGAATTTAAAAATAAATTAGAATTGTTTAATAAATGAAGCTCACCATGCTATAACGATCTAAGTATTTTTGAATGTAAATTGTTGTTGGTAGTTAAATAAAACTTAAATAGTGGATTTATTTTACCAGTATATCTTTCTATTTATTAAATAATCATATTTTTAATTCATTATTAATGTTAAACAAACATTTGATATAAAATTAAATAAAAGTATTGTTTTTACTCACAATTGGATAATCGATTTTATAATTTGTGTATTAATTACAGTTTACATTTTGTGATACTTAATTCACTATAGCATAATCTCACCCAAATGTTAACATTAAAATAGCATGGTGAATACAAATTAAAAATAATGTCACTCTAACAATTATAATCAAATGGCAATAATAACTCACCAGTATATCATCTAGCATATAATTACATTGGTGTGTCCGCAATAATTTGATGAGTTGCTCCGATAAATGAATATCATTATAAAATGAATTAATGTGATCATAAAATAATCGTTGTGTATCATCCACATTCATTTTTAACTGTTGGTACAAACAAAATTTATTTTAATTTAATATTAAACATATTGTATTAATTTTTGCAGACATGGCTCTATGTAACTTGTATGAGCATAATATTAATGATAATTGTTGTCAGTTTCAATTGTTGCTTAGGTAGTAATGTACAGGTATTTTATTAATACATTCTACTGGTAATACTGTATATTTGTTAAAGCAATAAATATTTTTATTGTTATATTTTATACTTGTGTGAATTGTGAAATTTTTCCGTTTTCATTTTCACTTAGTACTCAGATTACTTGGTTAATTAATTAACTTGAATATTAATAATGGACAATCATGAAAGGATACGGATTCATGACAATAAAATGAACACAGATTTTGGTCCAAAAAAAATAATTGGCTCAGGTACATTTGGGTCGGTGTATAAAACACAGTCAGTACACGACACAACATTTTACGCCATAAAGAAAATTTTCATACAGGGTATGAAGTGTTTGCACATTTTATCATATTATATTTTGTATTGCTACATTGTAACTTTTAAAATTACAATAACCTAGATGATAGACTAGAGTACCGGGAGATTGAGATACTGTCGACACTCGATGACAAATATGTGGTTAAATACTATGACTCGTGGCTGGAGTCCGACTCTCAGGGAACTGGAGGGCCGTCAGTATTATACATACAGATGGAGTTGTGTTCATCCAATTTGCGTGATGTGACCATGGTCAAAAAGAAATGTTTCGCATCCGTTAAGAATAAGGGTCTGGGTCATGTAGATTATTTTATATCATACCATTTATTTAAGGAGATTTTAGAGGCAGTGGATTACCTACATGGCCAGGCTATTATTCACAGGGATCTAAAACCGGCAAACATCATGGTACTTTTGAATTTGGTCACGAAACGGTGCATTAAGCTTGGTGACTTTGGCCTGGCTAAAATCCAGAAAAGGGCCTCCCAAACAAATACTCAGGGGGCCGGTACCAAAACGTACATGGCACCTGAGGTGTCTAGCGATCGCTCATATAATACAAAGGCTGACGTCTATAGTATCGGTATTTTCGTGGAGGAGTTGTTTAACATTGATATTAATACGTGAGTTTAATATGCAGTTAATTAATTAAGTTTGCAAAGTTTTTTACAATATTAACCAAAAATATTAAGAATATGAAATAAGTTACGTGTTAATATTATAAATATCATTATACTTTATGATGTCATGAATTGTATAATATTATGTATCCTTTAAGAGAATATGATATAATTACTATATAAAATACTAATTTAAAAGTGAACGTATATTATTTAACCGTAAATTATATTTCCCAAATTAGATCAACGAAATATCCCGGATTAAATGAGGTGGTTGATGCCATGCTGGTTTATTCATACAATAAGCGGCCGAATTGCAGTGATATACTGACCATGATCAAACAACCTAATATCATGTATGACATTAGCGTTGTCGGGCGTGAATTTAATAATGCTACTAAAGTTATGAGTAATGAGTTTTTGATCAATTATTTTGACTGTAAATTCAACGAATAATGTATATAATTATGTTATATAAACGATAATATGCAAAACATAAATTTTAATGATCAGTAACATATAAGTGCACAATACTGCTACATGTGCCAATCAGTGCGAGAAGTGCTAACTAGTGTTGAAACACTATTACAAATTAAAATATGACTCACAACACTAATTTGTAATTTATTATTATAAACTTTAAAGTTTTTCATATTACTAATTAAGAAACAACTAGTGTTGTGAGTCATAAATTAATTTGTAAAAGTGTCTCAATAATTGTTTGTTTGCATTTATCCCACTTATTGGCACTCGTAGCTACAGCGTTGTTACTAAACATCGGACCCATTTGGGAGGCTTGGCGTTTGGACACCCTGTAATATTTTTTGATGATTCCTTTTCGAAGGTGTAGAGGAAGAGTTAGATTTTTATGTGGTATATAATTTGTCAAGGTTATATTTGTAGAAAAAGTTATATACTCGATTTTTTCAAAAACCGTGGAAAATA